CTTGTTATGATCCACACAGTCAAACACCTTTGCATAGTCTATAAAGCACAAATAGACATTCTTCCTATATTCCTTATTTTCAGCCAGGATCCATCTGACATCAGCAATGATGTCCCTGGTGCCACAGCCTCTTCTAAATCCTGGTTGAACCTCTGGAAATTCCCTATCTATGTACTATTCCATCCATTTTTGAATGATCTTCAGTAGTATTTTGTTAGCATGTGATATCAATGATATTGTTCAATAATTTCCACACTCAGTTGAATCACCCTTCTTGGGAATAGGAACAAATATATACCTCTCTCCCAATCTGCAATGCTGTGTCACAATGTTGAAAGATGTTATGGACAATGTATTGAATGACCCAGAAAGCATCGAAAGAAGATGGAGGGAATACACAGAATCACTGTACCAGAGAGAACTGACTGACACTGAGAATTTTCAGGAGGTACCATATCAACCAGAGCCAGTGGTAATGAATGAGGAAGTGGAAGCTGCATTAAGAAATTGGCAAAAAATAAGTCCCCAGGAAATGATGGGATACCAATTGGCTTGTTTCAATTAGCAGATGCAGCCTTGAAAGCACTTACCAGTCTGTGCCAGGAAATTTGGAGGACAGCTGTTTGACCAATGGATTAGAAGAGGTTTTGGAAAGTAAACCAATAGAAAAGAAAAATTGTATTTAAATATAAAAAACAAACAACAACAACAAAACCACCCCAGTATCCACAGGGGAGGTGACAGGCTGGAGGCCTCTGCTGGCCCATGGTGTTGTAGGAGGGTGGTTGAACCCAGCACCCACACGTGAGGTGGCAAGACAGAGACTTCCGGAGGTCTATGACCCGGAATGAATAAGGCGATGAGAACAAAACCTAAAGTCCCAGGGTAACCAGGTATAAACTCAAATCCATTACCATCGCTTTGGTTCCATCCTGTTTGCAAGTTTCCAAGGCTGTACGTCTAAGTGGATTTGAACGTTTCAGTTAGCAACCATTCATAAACCACCATGTCATCAGAGGTCCTTAAAACTCCAAAGGAAACGAAATGCCTTTTAAATCCTTCTGGGCTTAGGTTTGTGCCAAGAAAAGTAGATGATGCTTAATTTGACGTGTTAGCTTGGCTTGGCTGTGCCTCAGTGCTTTGGCAGACTGTGCGCTCCTCCACAATGTGATATGATGTAATTATCTTCCATGGTCTGAGTTGACATGAGCAGCCAATCCATTGAAAGGGGCATTTCTTTGGGGTGTGTCCTGCCTGCAGAATATCAATGGATGTACTGGTAGAGCTTAATCTCTTTCTCCATCCTGCACTCTTCTTTCTCATCTTCACCTCTGGCTCCTGGGACATAAACCTGCAGAATTCCAGCCTGCCAGCTTACCTGCAGACGCTGGGTTCACCAGGCCTCACCTGCCACCTGGACTTGCAGCATGCCAGTCTCACAACTGTGTCAGCCACTGCCTTGAAGGAAATTT